TTAAAGTGGAAGAAACAGGATACGTGATAAGAAAAACATTACCTGTGAAAACAAGGATAAATACGAAAGGAAACAATTAACACCATAGCCACTGAACGAAAGGAAGAGTAAATACTATCACCACCGAAAGGCACTATATAATTAATAATTGAAGAAGACTAGACGTAAAATTCCGGAGATAAAAAGCAAATAAAGTAAAACTGTACCTTTAGAATAACTAATGATAAGGGACAAGAGATCAAGAAAGGTTAGGACTAAAACTATACTGTTAGAATGCAGAAGCGTTCAAGAAAGGCTACGAAGAAAATTATACTTTTAAAATCAACGAAGTGTTCAAGGAAGACTTAACTAAAAAATATACTTTTATAATTAAAGAAGCGCTCAAGGAAGGCTATGACGAAAAATATACCCTTAGAATCAAAGAAGCGTTAAAGAAAGGTTATGACGAAAAATAGATCGAAGAAATTATTTTAAAAATTTTAATAACATTCAAAAGGCTAAAATTCAAAAATTTAAAAATTCAAAATTCGGCCCTTTTATACGGAAGAAACCCTGTCACGGAAAAAGTATCCTAGTACTAGGAATAAACATGAAATTCAATTACCGAAATGTTGCACAAAGCCATTAATGATTAATAAAACAAAATATAAACAATGCACAAACGAACCAGAAGACTAGATAAACCTGTTCAATTCAAATAGAATGAGTCTTCGGAAAATAGTAAAAAAAGGGGGCTAGACCTAAAAATAATACATTCGGAAAGTTTTAATTAAAGAATGAAAATAAAGAAAGAATTGGATACCGAAAGGATAATAGGATCATTGATTGAAGAACAATTGCAATAATGCAAGGAGGAAGAAACGTCAAAACAAGTGATCGTTATAAGATCAAAGTTTGCAAAACAAAGTCTAGAAAAAAAAGAGACTGTTATAAAGAAAAGAAAATGAATTAGGAAATGTAAAATTCCGATAAAGAATAACTGTAATTAAATAGCAGAAAAGAATTTTAAGCATTAGTGGAACACTATGTTTGGATTAAAAAAAGAGCTAAGACGCTAGAAGAAACATAAATGAAACCGTAAAAAACGAAGAAATTAATTTTTGTTTCGTGGAACATTTGAAAATTAATTCTAATTCGTGTAATAACAAAATTTCTACTTGCGGGAACAAAACAATTTGTTAATCTTTCTATCGTTAATTATCTTAGTATTGGTGATTAATTTCGTATATAATCTTTGTCGTTAATTATCTTGGTGATTAATTTCATATATTATCTTTATCGTTAATTATCTTGGTAATTAATTTCGATGATACTAAATATCGTAAGTTAATTTATCGAAAATTATCTTATTTCGTTAATTTTCGATTTTTTTATTGAGATAAATATCGATAAATAATGTATCTCAATATTTATCCCCTAAAAAAATTTCCTGATGCATGAAAAGAAAAATAGACTCCCTTTTTAAAACTGAATTGAATGGTGGTGGTTTTTTTAAAATCCAATGTTTGGATCACATAATCTTTCAAAAATTTTAACTTTTGGGTATAGATGATCCGCACTATATCATTATTTAACTCTTTTATCGGATGTAACTTTATTCATTTTCATTCCCATTTAAATTGACACATATAAATCTTTTCAAATTATAATAAACACTTATT